ACCAATTTTTACCTCAAAAAGAAGACATTCTTCATGTTAATTCCTGGTAAACTTGTGGTGAAAAAAAAGGACCGGGGGAGGGGATAGACCGACGGCAACCCTACAAGCATGTCATAAAAGGCGACAAATTAGCATTTTGCTGAAATCGCTTGTGTTGGGCCGATAGGCACGATATCGCAGCCGTCTTGTAAATCACAAAGCTACAGGTCGATCGATCCTTTCGTTGCCTTCATAGAAGAAGAAGAAGAAGAAGAAGAAGAAGAAGAAGAAGAAGAAGAAGAAGAAGAAGAAGAAGAAGAAGAAGAAGAAGAAGAACAAGAACAAGAACAATGATGAGGTTATGATGATGAGGGGAGGATCAATATGATGAAGAGAAGGATAGGAAAGAGGAGGAAAATGAAGAAGATATAAATAAGAGGGAGAAAAAAAATACCCACTTTCTCCCACACATCCAAATCTCATCGCCACCAAGGCTTCCATCTTTGGACGCGAAACTCAAGTGTATAATCCTCACCTCCACGCATAAAGCAAGAGTTCGTCCAGCAGGATCAAGCCCATTTCTAATTCATAAAATACCTCTCGAGATTTGAGATAAAGATTGTCTTACCTTGACATATCGTGGCATGTAGACATGTTTATCTAGGGGTGCCTGTAGGAGTGGTCACGAGGGTATCATTCCTCGTCCACTGTCACGTGAACGACCAACACGTGTTCGGACGTCTGCTTTTTTGAAAACGTCTTATCTATCTTTCCCTATTTCATCGTCTTCGACTTATTCTCCTCTTTCTTCGTCTTCTTATTTTTCGCCTTCTTCTTCATCACGTCGAGCTCTCGGGGTACACTGCTGTTGACGTCCCCCACCTCTTTTGGTCTCCCTGGCTGGCTTTCACTTTCTAGTTGGCGACTGAAAGTGTTCGTAGGTCCGCTTGCATACACGGCCGTGTCGTGCGTGCTATGTATTGATACAGAGAAGCGACCACAGCCAGCGGCATTGAGGGAATACGGCATAAGTAATGAAATTAAAATACAGTTTAAACTTTTGATCGGACAGCGCGAAGCTAGTATAGGCAACATTTGAACACGTGCTTCCTGCTAAGAAAATCTACAGCGTGAGTCTGCCTGCAATATTCTATATTTAACCCTTAGAATCAATGTGAATGCTATAGTTATCATACAGAAATTTTCAAAAGAAGTTCACAAAAAATTCTTCTTCTTCTTCTTCTTCTTCTTCTTCTTCTTCTTCTTCTTCTTCTTCTTCTTCTTCTTCTTCTTCTTCTTCTTCTTCTTCTTCAGCATTCCGAGCTCCTGCGGTTCATTACCGCACAAAATCCGCCTCCGTTCATCTCTCTGGTTAACCTTCTCTTTTCAGTTAGTGACACTAAGTGTTTGCAGGTCTGTCTGGACATTATCTCTCCATCGTCTTCTTGGTCTGCCTCGTGGTCTACAACCATTCATTTCCCCTGTGTATACAGTTTTTACCTCTCTGTCATCTGACATTCTTTCAATACGCCCCAGCCATTTCAACATATTAGCTCTCATGATGCCGATGATCTACTGTGATTTAAACAGATTATGAAATTTCGTTGTTGCTTCTCACTCTCCATTCCTCGCTGTTTACATCTTTGATAGGTCCAAAAATACAAAAGAGAATATAAATGCCAGTGCACAATCGGGTATGTCTTCTCTGTTCTTAAGGAAGTTTTATAGCTGATCGCTGACTGTTCTTCTCTAGCTAGTCAGTCACCATACACTCTCTTTTCAGTGATTGGTGAGGACTATCGTCACAGCACTCCGAACAGACACAAGGATGCAGAGTCCTGCTTGGTGTCGTGATTTCCTCTGCAACCCGCAGCTCACATAGCATTAAAAACATCACTCTCGTCTTGTCTGCCAGACATTCTGCACGCTCATTACCTTGAACACCTGCATTACGGCACAAAGATAAAAGATAGGCGTGTTATTTGTGATGAATACCGTATGCTCTTTTATCTCGCCGCGTATAGGATATTTTGTGTGTGCTTCATTTAGGGGGCCGTGTTAGCGCAGTCGATAGGAGGTTCTCTTTCAAATCCAGCTGCGACTCGCTGCAGCCCACAGTCGGTGTTCGAAACCTGGCGGTTCCCGGTAATGGGTACCAGAACACTCTGGGATAAATAGATGAACGTCGCTGTAGCTACGGAGTTGCGTGCTGACGGCGACACAGGCAGAAAGTTTCTTATCACCTGTCCGTACTGGTGGCAGAGCACATATGGTTTATAACCGCGTGCAATGACGCTGGTTGACATCTCCCTACTTTACCTTTTACCTTTACCGCGATTCTTTCTGGAAAACTTTGCCATGCGGGGCCGGATTTAGACTTAACGACTTGGCCTTGAACTAAATAAACACCGAGGTCCCTGCTGTTGTAACTGCCCCAGCTAATCTCAGAAAACTTAAAAAAATATATACACCTTTTAAATATATAGATGATGGAAATATATTGTCGTTGAATTTTTATTGAAAGAAGTGATAATACATGCCTCTGCAAAATCGTGGCAATTGAATTATATAATCCTGTTAAATGCTCTATTAAAAAAAAATTACATTTCTGAACAAAAAAAAAATAAGAAATTGTTAAGGCCCCAGCAGATTGCGAGGCCCTAACAACTACAGTTTAGTTAGCCTATGTCTAAATTCAGCACTGCTGCGATGTGTCGTCACTTATCCAGAGTTTTCTATCACTTGTCGTTTTTCTTATCACGATATAAAACTCCTCTAGGTAATCTCTGAAGGAACCACCCTATTGCAGTATTCTCAACAACGGCAACAAACAAGAAAAAACAAGAAGTGAAATCCTTTTTTAAATGTTATTCGCTCAATGGGAATGTTATAAGACACATTTTTAGACATCGAGGAAGTAACATTCAACCCCACCAGGACCGCACAACGAGCGATAAACATCCAGTGACACAAATTGCCACGATTCGGATGGGGATCATCCGGGGACAGGTCCGATAAACCCAGTTCAAACCAAAAGTTGGGCTATATTAGGGTCCCCAACGACAGCCGGAATAGGGGATTTAAAACAAAAACAAAAATTGCGTTCGATATTATGATGGAGACCAGTAGTAGTAGAATTTTACCCCACTAGGACATCACACAAGTGATAAACATCCGATGACACAAAGTGCCACCATGTGGATGAAGATCACCCGTGGAGAAGTCCCAGAAACTGCGTTCAGCCATTAGACCATATTTATGGTCGGGTTATACTGCGGCCCCTGGCAAGAGCCAGGGTGGGGCTTCAAAATAACGAAAAATTGCACCTCACACGGACATAGCCAGATAATTGCCAAGGAGACCAGTCGGCACTCGATGTCTTATGTGGTCAACATCATGGCGGCCACCTCATTGTAATCATATTATACTGTGTCGACGTGAAATACTTTTCAAGAAAATCAGTTTTCCCTTCGAGTTGGGAGTCATAGCCATTACCCGACCGCGGCTTCCATTCTCAACAAACGTGATGTGAAACTCGCACATAAACAAGCTTTAGTACAGAGAGATAACTCTGTATTATGATGGGAAAACTGGATTATCTCCCTTACTACTTAATTGCTTCCACTTCTTATGTGGTTAAGTCGATGCGAACGCTTCGTAATGCCGGGATGCCGGGTTTTATCCCAGCTGCGGGCCACGCGCCTTGCGTTGGTTTCGACAGTGGTATCAAGAAAGCCGACCGCCCAGAGAGCAATGGTAACCTACTGGACGTAAATTTGCCTAGAAAAACACCACACAACAGCCAGGGATTGTTGGGGTTGGTTCTGCAACGTCCTGTAAAGGATACGAAACTAACCTTTCTTCTTCTTCTTATTATTATTATTATTGTGTTCGCTCTTAAAAGAATGTTGGCATGATGTGTTGCGGTTTACAGGTAGACTGCGATATCTACATCTTTTGGCCCAGCGCATCCGACTTCATCAAAACCCTAATTAGTCGCCATCTATGACATGCTTGTTAAGGCAGTGGGTCTGTTCTCATAGGTTTCCCACTCTCCCTTTCCACCCTAAATTGGGGCCCTGGAACCCACACGGGGAACTGCATATAATGGTTTACTTTAGTAAGACAGTTACAATGCTGTGCTGTTATTCAGGAGACCCGGTGTGGCAGATATATAATACCTGTGGTCTCACACTAGGCTCCAGATCGCTCCAGTCCTACATTGTACTAGAAAAGGGTGAGGGGCTGCGTGGTTTAGAGGTATGGTGTCTGTCTGGAGTGCTAGAGGTTCCGGATTCAATCACTGGTAGGGCTGGGATTTTTTCATGTTGACTTAGACTTCTAGTAATTCTCCCTGGTCTCTGGGTAGTGAGATCGGACGCCAGTGTGTATTGTTGCGCACGTAAAAAAAAATCCCTTTTGTAGTTGGAAATCGAAAAGAGTAGCCTAACGGCGCTGCCCGGGCAAAATTTAGAGTTAAAAATCTACCCAAAGTATTTCAGGAACCTCGCTGGGGCTACAGAGCCTCTGCACTGTGCTGAGCTTCTTCGGACCAGAAGAAGAACGCAGTACTTATGGGTTACTACCCGTGTGCCATGATGTTTATCCGTTGTTCAAAACCTCAAACACTAGACAGGGGTAAATACAAAGCAAAACAATTTTCTTAGACACTAGTACTCTGGTCTTACAACTCTAAGAGGATAAGCATGCAAGCTAACATTGTCACGTTTTTTAAATTAGAAATGTAATTCATTGTTATTTTTAATTCATTAAACTATTTCCATTCCATTTTCTTTTTCTCAGAATGATGAAGCAGTTTTGAAGCAACCTTGGAACATTGAAACTAGTGCTCATTCTTAAACTTCACTGGTTGAAGCACAAATGGTGGAATATAGTGGCACTTCCAAGTCTGGTGAAATGATGTTTCAGTGGTGGAATCTTTTTGATGGGATCTCTCTGATGAGTATTTTTGCCAACAGGCCTCTTTGTTCTTGACTGTACCCACATCTTTAAGCCTGTCAATGGATGCCTTAGCAGACAGAAGCCTACAACCTGCCCCTCAACATCCTGATAGAAGCCTACAACCTGCCCCTCAACATCCTGTGTCCCCATGTGGCTTCTATTCAAAACAAGATCCTGCTTCTTATTATTTTTCAAACTCAGATCCACCAAAACCAGGGTATGGACTCTATCCAGCTTATCCGAAACCAGCAGAAGGCAACTCATGGGCAAATAGTCAGAAGTCAGTTCAGTATCCTTTTGTTAGACAGCCAGTAAAAGAAGAATCAATGCAGGATGAGAGAAATGAAGGATCACGAGCATACATCACTCCTCCAAACTCTGAAAGCAACCCTCACCACCTTTCTGTTGCAGCTCATCAGCAGATACATCAGCCTCAACTTCAGACGTCCTTACCAGCATCATCTCCATACTCCCATGGTGGTCTACCCCCAGTGTCCAGAGAGATGAACCAGAAGAAATATTCTGAAGAGAAAAGTTCCTGTGATGAACTGAGTACCTTCTATGACCCTCATAAATTAGGGAGTTTTCAAGGCTCAGTTAGGTCCATTAACTTACCAAGGTCTCCTGAACCTTTACAGAATGACAATGTAAATTTAACTTATGACTACAAAAAACAATTCATCAGTGGAAGATTTGCAGATGACAATTACAGGTCTCTATACTATCAACATTTCCGTGATGCACCACAAAACAAGAACACATTCATCAATGATAATGTAAGTGTCATTTCCTACAACAAATCCAGAGCAACACCTTTGATTCCTCAAGAGAAACAAAGAGATGCTGGTGAATGTGAAACTAATACAGCATCTACTAAACTCAGAGATAACGCTGATGTGATAACAAAACATTATCACAGAGACTTTGATAGAAAACAAAACTTTGCAAAAACTTCAGACCAGATCTTGTACAGAAGGGAGATGGAACACCCAGAAAACATTTCCAAAGGAAAATTTGTAGACTATTATAACGACAGAGACAAAACTAGTCACAGCATTAATAAACAACCCTTTTTTGAAAAGAAAATAATTACCACTGAAGATTTTTCCATAGCATTAAAAAACAAGCAAATGGATGCTGTACCACATCCTGTTCAGAAAAATGTGACACCATCTTTAGAAGATTCACAGGAGGTTCAAATGAATCATCAGTACCACACTGTTGCTTCACCCCATTATGTTGGCCAGAGTCATGTAGCTCCAGATGCTTTAAAGTCACCCATATCACAAAGTTCTCAGGCAGACAGTCTTCATGAATCCACATTGTATGGCCCAACAACTGTGAAGTCTGAATCACTTTCTTCAGTTTCCGATCATAGATTCAGTAGAGAAGATCCACCCTCATTATCATGGATGCCTTCTTCTTCTTCTCCTACACCACATTACCTAAACCAGACACACAAAACTAGTTTCAACAAAGATTATGATGAACAAAAACAGAATTCTGGAGACTTGAAAGAAGTAACAGGATATAAAGAACCTTCACAATCAGACGAGCAAATCTCAAGAAAGAAAATGCTGACAAGGGCAGTATCTCCTCAGCTAATGGACACCAGTGAAGAGAGAAAGTCACCAACTGAAACCCCTAGCAAATTATCACCTTCTCGAAGATGTTCCAATGAGGGCTTTACCAAACTGAACAGCAGCGACAGCTGTGAAGATGGCAGCCTGGATGCTAAAAGAGAAGAATTCTCAGATGATGGTGAAGACGACAGTGTATGTGAAGAATCCACACCTCACTCTCCTGGATTTTCTCCTTTCCATGATAGATCTGTTGCTTACCCTCATCACTTCACTCATCCTTTCTTTCCATCTCAGACACATGGTGCAATATCTAGCTTAAAGTTTCCTTTTGGCTCATATCAAGGGCATCATGATTCAACACCAGGATACCCTTTTAGGCACATGTCTGGGGTACCTCAAGACATGGCTCTGATGGGCCACATGCACTCAGCAAGGCCTCCCTTCATAAGCTCTGTTGGCCCTGGAATTGAACCTCTGAGGCAGATTGCAGGAGAGAAGGATATCTACTTTTGCCACCTCTGTAGCTATTCTGGTAGGTATTTTTACATAATAAAATGTCATTTGAAATATTAACAAAAGGACACAAACAGTAGAGCTCATAATTTATTGCCTGTCATATTTCACTGTAGCTTGTCATGTTCATATTAGAGTAACAATTGAATACAGTTGAGCAAGTAAATCTTCTTCTTTGCAGTAACCAAAGTTCTGGCAAAGTTCTGGCTGTTCATCCACTTCTGGACTTTAGTCCTGTTCCAGTCCTTGAGTTTTGCTACACATCCAATTTATAGATCTGGCTTATTTGTATGCAGACTGTTGGTTCTTTGCCTCTCAAGCTGATGCACTCCGACTTTGATAGAATCACCCCTAATTAGTCGACTTATACAATATGCTTATTTTGATAGCAGTGGTCTATCTCCACGCCCCTTTCACAGTAGGGCCTCAGAACCCACACAGAGAAGCAGATAAAGGAATCTTTTTAGCTTGCTGAATATGCCAGGTAGTAAACTGTGCAGTCTATATATGTGACTAAAAGATAGGAAAATTCACTTCAGTGTACTGGGTTGTCCCCCCACTGTAGAATGGGTTATCTTCACTTGTACTCATGAGAGCTTCCATAGAGCACATGATTCCATAATTCCATTGATGTTCCCCAGGGATCTCTGAATCATTGGCTCTACAAACTCAAATGCCTTAAACTTCAGATCATGAGCAAATAGTTCAACTACTTCACCACTATCTGACCTCTGTGGTAAAACTGTAATGTTGACACCCATTGCTGAGGACTGAATGTGGAGCACCATTTTATAATTGGCACATTTCCATCTTTCCGAAGTGTTCCACTGTGCTAAAGGAAGACATTGAAAATATGTGCAATGTCTTGTAAAGGATAGATAACTATAAATATCCAATGGCAGGGTAGACCAGACCTTAAGTGTTGGTTGGCAGCTGTTGTTGTTGCTTTTTTTGTTTTAAACCATCAGTGCTATTTTATATTTGAAAACTTATTTTCTCTCCCTCCTCCTCTTTTCTTGTGCTCTTTCTCTTCCTCCTTCAGTTATCTCATCAATTGGTTGGGGGAAAGATGTACTGATTTTGTGTGTGCTTTGTCTAATGTGTTATATAAGCTGATCTTCATTTCTTTAAGGCTGTTCTTGTTTACATCATTCCATGTTTACATGGTCTTCCCATTGTTCTGTGTTCATTATATTTCTTCAGTGTTGCTGTCTGCAGTGGTTTGTACTAGGGCATTCTTATAAGATGACCAAACCATCTCATGATTCGCATGCACATACATCTCCTAAAATTCCTCATAAACACCCCTGCATAGACAGTAAAATCTATCAGTTTTCTAGACCTGACATAAATTCATTTTTAAGATCATGCTCTTGTGAATGGAGAGTGATAAGCAACAAAAAAGTTCATAATCTATTTAAATCATCATTGATCACTTGCATCATGAGAGCTAATAGAAATGACTGGGGTATATATCTTAAGAGAATGTCAGACAATAGAGAGGTAAAAACTGTAACACAAGGAAGCTGAATGGTCGCAGACCACGAGGCAGACCAAGAAGACGATGGAGTTATAATATCCATACAGACCTACAAAGACTTTGTGACACCAACTGGGAAGAGAAGACTAGCCAGAGAGATGAGTGGTGGATGATATCTGCAGCAATGAACCTCAAGGGTTTGGAATACTTAAAAAGAAGAAAAATATAATCGTTTTTGTTCACACTTTGAAAATTTGTCTTCTTATTTCAGGAAAGTCAAAACCTGAGTTTGACAGCCACATGAACACACACTTTGAGTTCAACTGCCCACACTGTGACTATACATCGAGAACTGAGGGTCGGCTTAAGAGGCATGTTAAGGACTTCCATTCTGATGACAGCTCAAGACGAAGTATGCCTGGTCGCCCAAAGATTTACAAGTGCAAACAGTGTCAGTTCTTAGCCACTGATAAAGTAAGTTATCAGTTCTTAGCCACTGATAAAGTAAGTTATCAGTTCTTAGCCACTGATAAAGTAAGTTAATTATCAAAATATGATTTGTAAACATGTGCCTAAGGACATTTTCTTTCATTGTCCTGTTGTCCCCTATGTCCCATACAGCTTGCAGTCAATTTCTCAGTTCACTCAATCCTGTGCAATTACTTTGATATCATGAATAGAATCCAGTCCAGTAACTTTTGACATCTCTCATCAGTGCTTATCTTTGGGTTTTCCTTGGACATCCTTGTTGCCACGTTCCCTCTATTTCCAGTTTCAGTGCCTGTTTGTTGATTCTCCGTTCATCTCTTCTAAGAATGTGTTTAACTCTCTGAGTCCCAGGTAACGCATCATACATTCATAGGTTCCTACCTGGAAGCCCAATAAACGCATGAGGTGTCGATTTTAGTCTCTTTTTACTACCCATTGAGCCTGTGATGATAAACCTCCTGGGACTCAAAGAGTTAATAAAGTGCCATCTTCTCTGTTTTGTAAACTGTTGATACTAGTGGTTGCCCAGATATATATCATATGGACATCAATCAGTCCATCAGTTCTCTTTATGCCTAGTGGCACATGAGCCTTCTTTGAGTTAGAATCTGCCTATCCTAGCAAGACTGGACTCTGCTGAATGTGTGAGGAAGCCAATACTTTGCTTAGTGGACCTGATAGCGGGTACCAGCAACACGCTGTGATGCGCAAAAGAGCACTGTAAGGCACGTAGAACACCCTGGTCATCCACTGCACCTGACTTCATCTCCAGCCGTCTCGACTTGTCCTGCCACTGGATTCAGATGGATATAGACGAAAGAGTGAGGTCGACGAAATTGCACAACTCTTCCTCACTTTAATCTAATTATTCTAATTCATCACACTAGTAACTTTTTTATGCAAACTCTGACACCTGGGAGGCTGCAGCACAGGTCCAGACTTTATGGCTCACATATATCCGACATGGTGCAACGATCTGTAAGAGCATCTAGAACAAGGGCAGCTGAACAACGAAGACAGGCCAGACAGAACCGACAAACAGGCCCTTTGTCTACAGACACTATATTTGTATAGACCAAAGATGGGTGATGAGGTCAGTATCACGCCGGCGGCCTTTACTTATCGAGACTGCACCCGGTACCCACTCAAAGCTTGGTCAACCTGGAAGTCAGAGAGCAAACTCACCACCTTCCGATCCGCACGTGAGAGTCTAGCCACAGAGACTCCCTAAAACTGAGGTGCAACAGAAAAAAATAAATTGTGACAGAAGGATCAAAGTTAATCATTGATTCATTTTTGGTGAGTTCACCTACTGCTACTGCGGCGTCCGTGGCTTAGGCATTGCGAGTCTGACTCGTAATTCCAACGTAGCATGATCGAAACCCACTGCTGGCTGCGTGGATTTTCATCATGGTATAAGGCATTGCAAGTCGACCCAGCCGAAAATAGGTACCAGGATGGCTGTCCTGGGGAAGTAAAGACGGCCAGAGTAATGCTGACCACATTACCCACCTAGTGCTGGTGATCTGTAAAAATATGGATGCTCTTCGCATATGCCGATACGTCTAAAGGCATAAAAAGGGATCTTTACTTTACTTTACTTTACTTACTGCTACTAATTTGTCTATCCTTGGCAATTGAATAATATTCTCAGTAATTTATTTATGTCGTCAACAGGATGCATTTTGGGCACATTCTCGCACACACATCAAGGAGGACAAGCTGCTACAGTGCCCACAGTGCCCATTTGTCACAGAGTACAAGCACCACCTTGAGTACCATCTTCGCAACCACTTTGGTTCCAAACCATTCAAATGCCCAAAATGCAACTACTCTTGTGTGAACAAATCCATGCTTAACTCCCATATGAAGTCCCATACTAATGTTTATCAGTATCGATGCTCTGACTGCACCTATGCAACTAAATACTGCCACAGTCTGAAACTTCATCTAAAAAAATACAATCATAAACCAGCGACCGTTTTAAATCAGGATGGTAGTCTACCCCAAGGGTTGGACGTTGAATCAAGTGGGTTGTCCATTGTTAGTAAACGAGGTCCTCCCCGTGGACCAAGAGGCACAAGGAAAGACAACACTGAGCCATATCTGAATCATTTATTTGAAATGCCTCAGATGCCTCTAGGAGTTGCCGGAATGAACTCAATGTTAAATGGTATTTTGCCATTCTGGCCAATGCTGCCACAAATGGGTCTTCCAGGACATCCACCCCAACAGTCTGGCATGCTGCCAGGAATTAGAAACATGGTGCAACAGATGGGCATCAGAGCAGACCATAAAGACAGGTCTGACAGTTTGAAATTAGATTTCTTAAGTGACAATGAAAACAGTAAGAGAAATATTGCTGATAAAGCAAAGATCTGTAGGCTGTGTGGCTTTGTTGCGGAAACTAGAGAGGCGCTAGGTTTTCACTTCATGCAGCTCCACAAGGAAGAGGCTAAAGAGGTGGCTAAATCTTATGGCCTCAGTGAAACTTTTTTGAATGAATCTTTCAAGAAAATCATCCCTGAATCGAAACCAGAACAACAGGAAGAATTACAGCAATCAGATAGTGAAGAAGATGGAGAAGACAACAATTACAGAAAATTAGATACAGATTTTCATCAGAACGAAAATAGCCAGAATATGCATCATGCCAGTGGCCAGGTGGAAGAGTCATCCAAAATGACACCAGCATCTTGGTCACCAGTTTCTTCTGAAAATTATGATGGTCATAGTAGACCATCAGATGTGTATTATTCACTTAAAGAGGTTAGTGATGGCCAAAATGGAGACGACAATAGGGATGTTAATACAGAAATTGACATACTCCAGCAGATGACTCTAAAATTTGGAATGGGACCTCTGACTGATAACAAAAGGTCTTCTGCAAATAATGAGGTGCAGGTACAGAAGAAAGAGATACTGGAAAGTGTTAGGGAGCCCACAAATGAGCTTCCTGTTCGTGTTTGTCAGACACCTCTGGATCTGACCAAACCCAAGTCAGTTTCTCCACTCATGCTTGATGATTCTCCAAGGCGGTTTGACATCAATGACCATGTAGATGAGGAGGAAAGAATGTCAAATTCTGACTCTGAAGTTTTTTCTCATCCTCATGAAGTCATATCTAACCCATATGAAGTCAGAAATGATAAAGTACAGTCAGAAAAACTGCTGAAGCGTCTTTTGAGAGAAAATGATGATTCCGTCAGCATAAACAGTCCTTCTGTCTCTGATACGGTAATCCCACCAAGAAAGAGATCAAGAAAAGGAAAGGCATACAAACTGGACACTATTTGTTTGAAGTTACAAAGAAGGCAATCAAGCACTTCCCATGAGGAGGAGAATGATGAGTGTGACACAGACATAGATGGCAGCTTTCATGATATTAAACTTAATGAAACTAATGAAGAAAATACAGAGAACAATACTGACCGAAACTATAATTGTCCCACAAATGAGAATGAGTTGAGTAGAAAAAGAAGAGTTAACAGTCCTTATAACTCTGCAAAACAGAGTCAGCATGATTTTGAGGATGCAGAAATGGAGGAAGTAACAGTACATAAGTCTGAGAATGAAGACAATAATGAAATGAAAATTAACATTGATTTGAGACCATGCGGAAGCATCAACAGAGCTGTAGAGAAAAGCAAGCAGAATGAGGAATCTGATTTACTAACAGAGAACACAAGAACAGTCCAAGAAGAAGCTGAGATAGAGCTGCAGAAACTGCAGAGAAGTTTGCATGTTTTCAAACAAAGTCCACTCTCTGATGAGCCAGAATCAACCAAAGACGAGATCTATGTTAATAACACTGGTGAAAACACTGAAAGTAAAGATGATAAAAATGGTGAGATGGTATGTGAAAATCAGCCTTCCTTAGATAACATCAGTGATGCTGCAACATCCAACTCCCAGTTTCCTCAGAAATCTTCAGAAGGGGACAAAGTAGACCAGGTGGAAATGATCAATACAGTGATTGAGAATCGTAAAAAGCCAGTTCCGCCAGCTGTCAGAAGAGGCACAGAGTTGGCATGGAAGTTGTTGAATGACCCTGTACACCCAGTGACCACACTGCCCCTTCCAGTGGAGACCTTACCAAGTCCACAATCATCAAAGACACCCTCAGTCTCACACAGCACTGTGGCTTTTTTACCAGAGATTAATAGTTCTACAGCTGTAAGGAAAGATTCAAAGACTCATCCGATGTCACCTCATTACTCACAACCGCTTCATCTCAATGTCCCTCAGCCTCGTCATCCAACTACATTTCACCCACACACATCCCAGTCACATTACAAAAACCCATCTGTTTACCCACAGGCACCACATATCCATCACCCGCATGTCCAGACATCACTCATGTCCATGAAACCACTCATGTCAATCCCTTTGCCATCCACTCCCATGGCATACATCCCCCCAACCAACCGAATGATGCCTGAACCAAATACAACTTCCAACAGTTCCAGAATGAAGCATGTACACAAAGACTTGTATGAGTGTACCTACTGTGACCTGTCATTCAGGGACTGTGTAATGTACACTGTACACATGGGCTACCATAGCAACCAGAATCCATTTCAGTGCAACAGTTGTGGAGTAGTTAGTCGGGACAAAGTTGAGTTCTTTCTTCACATTGCCCGATCACCACATGTTTGAAACAATTCGTTGCACAAAAATTTGGATTCTGAATTCACATTGCCCGATCACCACATGTTAGAAAGACAGTTTTGTTGCACAAAAACCTGAAAACATCCTTCACATTGCCTGATCACCACATATTTGAAAAATAGTTTCTGTTGCACGAAAACTTGAATTCTTCCTTCACATTGTCCGATCACCTTTTGTTTGAAAGATAGCTTTATTGCACAAAAATGTGCCGTCACCAAATGTTTACAAGAAAACTTTTGTATCATAGTTGCTAGATTCTCGCCTGCTGGCCTTAAGGATCTACGGTTGTTTTCCCGATACTTACCTTGGCTCGGAGGGGTATCCCCAGCCTGAAATAGGTAACAAGTAATGTCCTGAGAAGTCTTCTTCTTCTTCTTCACATTCAGGTTGTTCACTCACTTCTGGACTTTAAACTCGTTCCAGAACTGAGTTGCATGCATATCTGTTTTACAGATCTGGCTTATTTGTATATAGACTGTTTGTTATCGCCTCTCACGCAAATTTACTCTGGCTTCGGACAAAACACCCTTAATTAAGTTAATCTCTTTTACAACATGCTTGTTAAGGAGCCGTGGGTCTTTTTTTTTACCTCATTAAAGATCCTTAACTAACATTCTTAAGTTCATATATTTATAATTCCTATATGAGTTCTAGGGCCCTATTTTGGGGAGTTTACATTGGGGGGTGGGGGGGGGGGGTGTATTTATGACCATGGTGTAACTTGCCAGAATATGCAGTAGCCAGGTATATGTTTTCACCTGTTGTGTTTTGCCAAGATTTTATAAATAATGTTAACTGTTTAGTCGTAGATGAGGTGGCAGTTTGAGGATTTAGTCATGCAAATTTAATTGTGCTGCAAATTTAATTGTGCAGAGTAACTGTTATTAATACAAGTTGCCAAAGTTTACAACAGTCATGTAAATTTTTTACAGTTCTTATTAAGTTAAAAGTTGCCAAATATTTACAATAGTCATGTAAATTGTTCATTTTCATGGCCTCATGCCAGCATTTTTGATAGTCATGTAAGTAAACTCAAATGATGTGTGCTATGTTGTTATTTTTACTGTTCTATAAAATGTAAAACAAATCCTTGTGCTGTCAAACTGTTACAATTTTACGTAAAACTCTGTTAAATATTGTCCTATAAAAGACCCTCTTCCACACTTTTAGGCATCTAGGGCTAGACCTATATTTTATAGACCAATCAGCAGAAGATCGGTGGGTGATGTGGTCAGCATCACACCAGCCACCTTTACTTCCCAGGACTGCATCCGGTACCCACTCAAGGCTGAGTCGACCTGGGAGCCAAGGTCATTCTTGAAAAAATTCCAGCTCAGCCAGGGAGCGAACCCATGAACTTCCTATCCACAAGTGAGTGTCTAGCCGCTATGCCACGGCAATTCCTAATGTTGTCCTATGGTTTGCAGCAATGAAAATCCAAAAGTGTACATAACTGTTTTACCTTTTAGGGAAAATGAGCACCAATGTATGATAATGTTCTATTGAATATTTTAACTGGTTAATGGTCTAATGTTTGTGTAAAGTTTAAATTTGCTTGGACTTTCTTATTTATTGTTCTTTGTTGAACATATACCCACCTTAAACTTACCTTTAATATATGTTTGGTGTGTTTGTGTGTGTGCGAGTGTCTGCACTAAATTGTGTATGTGTGTGGTATGTGCAAGTGTGTTGGCATGCACTCACAATTGTGTGTGCATTATTATCATATTTTCCACATATCTTGATCCCCGCTGACCTTGATCAATTTATTTATATCTTCCATTCCACTATCTTAGATCATCAAGGAAAATCAATGTGTTTGTCTCTGCTTTATCTCCAACTGATCTTCTACAAATTCATAGACTGTTAACTTCCAGTGGAAAGTTTTGGATGTTCGTCCACCTCTGGATTTTAATTCAGCTTTGTTCCAGAACTTGTGATTTATATGCACATCCATTTTACATATCTGGCTCCTTTGCATCTCCCACTGATCATTTCAGCCCTCAAAAAACTTAAGTTTTCTACTTTCTTCTCTTTCTTCTTCTTCTACTTCTTCCTCTTCTTCTGCACCTTTTTCTTCCCCTTCTTCTGCACCCACTCTTAAAACACATGTGACACAACTTGTTTATGGTTTACAGCAAGGCTGCATTTTATGCACCATAAGACACAACTCATCCGACTTTAGCAAACACCTAATTTGTCATGTTAAGCAACATTATTGTTAGGAGGCAATGGGTTTATTACCCCCCACCCCCCACTACCCCCACTCCTCAAAATAGGGCCCAGGAACCAACACTTTTTATCATATTCACAAAGAAAACATCTTTCTCTTGTTCGCTTTCTCTTTTACCACTTCAGTTGTCAAGGAAAATATAATCTTCTGTGTTCCTTGATGCACCGCATACTTGCCAAGTATCTAGGTTTACTAAATAGTGTCACATATACAAGTCATCACTCCCGCCCAACAGCAATAGAGGGCGCCGCATACATTTTGACCGTCAAAGTAGATTCAATGTATTTCAACATCAGGACAATGAAAGGCATCATGGGACATGGAATTTCTTTACTGCCACGGTCATTCTCACTACCAAGGCAACACACACTCAGGATGCTCTGGAAGACTGTTACTGCCACTCTATGTTCCGTGGTTGCTACAGGGAAATATTACCCGCTCGCACAAATCCACTCCTCGTGATTACTTGACTGTCTCTCTGGCGCCTATCACTTGGATATGCAGTCACTAGAGAGATCAAACAGACTGATACACAATATATTGTGGAGATTATCCAGACCTTCCATCTGTGGCCTGACACGTACCTTGAGATCTCCTGATCTCACCTCACAAACCTTCGTCACGCTGGACCAGCTACTCCCACAGATAGTCTGGACACTTAACACCAGCGTAACAAACAGGTGTGCAGGACTAGTCTGGCAACATCCAGGCTAGAACATACCTTCCACTTCAGCTTTGTAGAGTCAACAGTCTCTCTCTCTCTTTTCACATCCCGTTCGATTCTATACTACGCTGCACAAAGTCTTACGTTCATTAATGCACTTCCCTTTCATGTACCCATATATTGCATACAACGCTCTGGTTTTTCCTCTTCTGGATGCCTCAAATGTAAACAGATAATACTGTTGTGATTGTATCTGTCTATCTAGTTCTTGGTTTATCTCCTGCTCTGCGTCTTGCTCCTCTTTTTGGTAAATGCTTTTTATTGTATGCCATTGCAAAGCATTCTCTCTAAGTGGGTAAAACATGTTATTCACTGCCTTTGTCTGTAGTTTAGTATTGGTTCAAGACTATTATTTGCCCCTTTCTTTAGTTGCACATAATTTTGTGATTTCCCATTCCTTTTCCAGACATTTGGGTCAGCTCTGTGGCTAAGTTGATGCGAACGCTTCATAATGCCGAGATGCCGGGTTCGATCTCAGCTGCGGGCCATGCGCCGTGCATTGGTTTCGACCGTGGTATCAAGAAAGCCGACCGTCCAGAAAGCAATCGGCAAACTACTAGACGTAAATTTGTCTAGAGAAACCACACAACAGCCAGGTGCTGCTGGGGTTGGTTCTGCAACGTCCTGTAAAGGATACGCAACTAACCTTTCCAGACATTTACTTTTTTACTTTTACTTTCTAAAGTATTCATTTCAAAAGTCAAATATTCACTGTCTCTAAGCTTTTTTCTAAACTGTTCATTCACATTCCAAGATTCACTTCCTTATAGCAGAACAGGTCATATTTCACTGTCTCTCTCTCTAATATTCATTGGAAATGACATTCTAGGTAACATACTTTCCATCTTTATAAATGTCATTTTTTTTATAAACTACTGGAATGGCAGGCAAGCTAATTAATCAACTTGGGTTGACTAATTGTTCTTTCCTAATTTGAACATACACACACATAAATACAAACAAATTAAATCTCTGCCTCAGTTGATGTTTTAAATCTATTCAAGTTATTTGTTCTAAATTATCAATTATCTTGTGTATATATTGTAAATAAACTGTGCATAGTGTGTGCAGCAGTGGAAATAAATGGCTGGAACAGGGCTGTATTTCAACTGAAAAAGATAACACTGCTATGAAACTTACCAGTTTTATGCTCCATTTACTTTCTAGGAGTTTGTATAACCTCTACAAATTGGTCCAACAAAATGTATTTGTTTTAAATAAGTTTTTTTCTTAGATACTGTCATGTGATTTCTTAAACGATTTATCTTTCATACCATTGTTTTTAAAACTTGCCCTATTAAAACAAATATGTAATCTTTAATCAAAATTGCAATCAAAATTAAAATATCAGTCATCAAGTTCTAAATAAAACCATAAAATTGTAATAACTTGTGGACATACAATGTCACATTATGTGCCAGTCTGGAGGCAAAGGCAATCATGTATATGCACAACTGTTTTTTTTTGTGTTTGTTGTGAATTCCACTAGTAGCCTAGGAGAGTTAGGAATTAAACTTTGCAATCTATAAATACTATCTATGTTCAGAGTTATGTTTTCCTTGTTTTTTGAATTATATAATAAGAGTACACATATACATACTACTTGGGTGGCTTCAAATAAAAATATTGAAAGTGTGAAAGCAATTACAGTAGAGACACCTTTGTCTCGTGTAACCTGTCAGTATTGTTGCTAAGTGTGTCCAGAGTGTTAAACATGTGACATCTCGTAAACAGTCTGTCACAGAAGCCATACTGTTTAGAAACTTCCTACTGTACTCATACACTTCCTGAACTGACAGACATGCATCGCCACATCATACACTTCCTGAACTGACAGACATGCATCACCACCCTGGAACTTCATTCGCTGATGAATTTCAGAAGGTTTTATCTCTTCACTGATTTAAAGAATTAAATTGGATAATACACGCTGCTCCTCTTTGATGCATGTCAAAAGTGATGTGGCTTTCTTTCCACTGACATTAAGATATCACCATGTTCCTCTACTTTGTTACATCATTAATTAACACT